GATTCAGTTCCGAAACATTCATTCTATGCAGAAGCTTTCACAGCAGAAGCTTTGTTGAGAATGCTTTATTTCCACTTTGTCATTCAATACAGCCTACAGCATTCTTTTTTTGACATAATCTCTTTGCTTTCCTGCTCTCTGATGTTGATATGGTTTATCTGATGTGCATTTTTTCTTTAGAAAATTAAGATGGCAAGCAAACATATATTCCATTTTGTTCCTGTATTCATATAGAAGGAATTACTGGTAATCGTAAGGTTTGGTGAATTATTGAGGGTTAGGGTTCATCTACATTTTTTGTGTTTCACATTTCAGAGATACTGAGGTAATTTATGGTGACAGGACTAGTGCACCAAACTAATTATCATGTTCATCAAACTAGTGTGAGATTATGGTGCAATATGAGCATACCAGAGGCAGTAAACGAAAGAAGGTAAATCATGGTGGTAAGAGAATATACTCAGTCAGGGACATTATTCAGGCTGTTACATACCGGATGAACAAGATTTTGGGTTAATGTTTATGGTTGAGTAAAAAACAAGACAAATAAGTTGCATCTCTATAAGAAAGCTATGTTTCCTAGCCATCCCATCCTATGTGATGGTTGAATGTTCCCTGCCTCTTCTAGTTGTGGAAGTGTGCAGGGTTTTTCTTGGGATCTGCCATCTTGTTGTGTCTTTCTTGGAAATGTCTGCAGTCATATTAGTGATTCTTTGTTTGGAACTGGCTCATAAACAATGTACTTGTTTTAACCTATAAAGCTCCTATATAGCATTACTTTCTATAATCACCAAACTTTTATATGCTATAGAAAAAACAGAGGAACATTTTGTTCTGTCATGTTCACATCATTTCAGTATCAGGCTCATCAGCCTCTGAATAATTCATGCCCCATCTGAGCAGGACAAAAGACAGATGTTACATGAGAGTTTGTTGCCAATGAGGCAACAAGTTCAAATGTACAATAGCAAAGAACGCTATTGTTTTCGCCTACCCTGCCCTTATGACAGCTGTGCAGTGGAGGTGTTGGCCGCCAGTAGGAGGATAGGCCGGGATACGGTCAAGCAGAGCTCACAGAAAAATATGCATGGAGTATGTTGTGTGTGGGTTTTCCTTTGTGTATTGGGTGCTGGTTTCAAAATAGATCATTTAATCATTTAAAGCCCTCAGGCTCTTAATTGTGTTTGGTTTTTTTTTAACAAAATCTCATGGAAATGTTTCTTTTTCTCCTTAAAGCTCAGATAAAATGTCATTCTCTTGCTGTGTGCTTATCTCGGTGTGAAAACAGATGATTTATGTACGGTCTCTGCAGTCGAGTTTATGCACCGTTCCGATAAGATTGGTGGGGTTGTGTGCATGTCGGTGTGGTTTATGAGTGTTTATTGAGACCACAGATTGTAGGACTGCCTACTGGAGGACACAAACAATATTCCGTGGGAATGCAAAGTCCCACCAGTTCCCAGTCCCATTCCTTATCACCAAGATTCCCATATGAGAAATGTATATTATCCTCAAGAAGAGAAAACATTTGAGCTGCTCCACTCAGTGAGCGAATGACACCCATTTATAGGTTTGCAGCAACATCTCTAATTCAGAAGCATAGATAGATAGATAGATAGATAGATAGATAGATAGATAGATAGATA